TTTCCTGTGGATAAACTTGGCAGATACTGATCTCAGCAAGGCAGCAGCATTCGGTGGCATGAAGTCAAATCTTAATTTCCTGCCCAGGAATTGAACCTGGGTACCCTGGATGAAAACTTGGAGTCCTAGCCACCAAATCAGCAAGGGCTGGAAGATAATTTTTCCTGGATCCCAGTGAAAAATGCGTTTGTCACAGAGGCAGAAACTGTAAATACCAGGTACAAAGTTTATTATTAAAGACAGAGCAGAACAACAAGTGGGAGAGCACATAAAGAAACAGTTTGTTTAGTTGAGATAGAAGCAAGGCAGAGATTTCCTACTGGAGAAAAAGGATGTGGGCATCCTCCCCCCTAGTGAGGAGAAACGTTATAAAGAGTGGTGTTAAGTCATTTACATAAAGGCAGTTCTTCTGGATCTGTCTTAAGACTAACTGACCTTAGTCTTCCTTCAAACCAGTTATCTAATTTCTTTTTCCACACCTGACCTACCTGGGACCCTGCCCTGGGATGCGCACACAGTCAAGATGGATCTTGAAGTGAAGGCTTCTGGGAGGAGCAAGACTCGTTATGGCCTGGAATCATCCTTTGACTTTTGACTTCAAGGAGCCTTTCTGAACATGTATAGTGTCTATCTTAACTTTTACTCAGAAGAATCTTTGCCTCTCTTTGTCCTTGCAATGATTGTTGCCTTAAGGTGTTAACAAGAGATAAGACTAGCTATTTACCTGGTTTCTGTTGTTACTTCCATTTCCTAGAGCAAATGGGGGGCTGGTTGTAATACCTCAACTGCAGCCCACCTATCTCTTATCTCAGGAAAGGCAAAGAGAGGCTGACTGATTGTAAATGTCCAACCTGGAGCCCATTTGTCTCCTACCTTGAACTACCTTACTCAGTGACCAAATTTAGCACCACATCTGCTAATCATGTTAATATCGTGCAATGATATAGTGCGATGGGTAAATCACCTCTAGAGTGTTCTTTCCCCAAACCTGTAAACCCAGCCTAATCATGAGAAAAGAATTTGAGGGCCACTCTACAAAATACCTACCAGCACTCTTCAAAAGTGCCAAGGAAATGAAAAACAAACCAAGACTGAGTAACTCTCAGAGATTGGAGAACTAAATGCAACATGATATCTTGGTTTGGATGCTGTGACAGAAAAAAATTGTTAGTGGAAAAATGGTGAAATCTGAATGAAATCTGTGGTTTAGTATTGTACCAATATTAAATTCTTAGTTGTTTAACATCTCCTAGTTATATAAGATGCTAACCTAAGAGCCTGAGTGCAACTCTTCTATAAATCTAAGGTTGTTTCAGAATAAAGGGTTTTTTATTTCTGTTTTTGTTTTTCTTTTTTAAGTATCTCTTTCCTTCTGGGCAATATAATCCTAGGAAGATTGTCTTCCTTAGAAAATTACTCTGTGCTTGTAAGTTAAGAGGTCCTCTTGTCCTGAGAGGTGGTCAGTCCATGAAGATCTTCTGGGCTAGAGAATTGGCCCAGTTGGAAGAGATGTTTTGGTTGTGTGAGGCAGTATAGACAAGGCTGTAATAAGGCCATAAAGAGTGATCTGATGTCATGGATCCAATGACAAGAGATTATGCCTGAAGAATCAGGAAGTGAGTGGAATTTGCTTTGAAGTAAATCCAACCTTAATTTGTGGAAGATCCATTCAACAGTAAGTTGGCAAAATATAACAACCCAGCACAAAGTTTTGCAAATAGGAGACAAAGTCACCCTAACCAGTCAGAGAGATTATCTGCCACTCACAAGTATCATGCAGAAGACAATAAATGAAAATTAAGCCACAGTGGGAACCTTTCCAGTTAGAACAGGGAGGTTTATGCAGTCAGAGATGAGGCTGGATTAACTGAGGATATCTGATGATATCTTGCAGTTACATATGTCTAGACATTTCTTACAGGAGATATGACCCAGCAAGCATGAGACAGAGGAATGCAAAAATGGTTAGGACCCCACTCCCCATGCTAACATAATGTTGTATCTGTGCCCAAGATACCTGTTTAATCACCTCTCCTGGTTCTTTGTTAATTGGAATCTGAAAGCCTCTATTGTTAATAATAAAAGTTCTTGAATGGGTAGACCATCTGGTTACAATTTTGGTTTCAAGTCCCTGTTATGCAACTGGTACCCAAATAAGGACTGTCTCCAAATGTGAGTAGGCTGAGTCAATCATAAACAAGCAAAAGGAAATATTCCTCTGTGCTGCTAATATCCAAATGTTCGAAGATGAAGTGTTTAATGAAATGGTGCTGCTTAATTTTAGTCACACTTCCTTTACCATGATGTGTTTGACCTAGACCATGGTCAACAAACTTTTCCTGTAAAGGACCAGATAATAAATAATAGTAAAGATTTTGAACTTTGCATGGTCTCTGTTGCATATTTGTCTTTGTTTTAGAAAAAAAAACAACCACCTTTTAAGTATGTGTTTTCTGCATCTTTCACTATATTTTCATACCTTGTGATAATGGTTGAAGTCTGAGATGGGCTTTAAATAATGATCTATAATGAAGTTTCTGGCTATAGATTTACTATCACTGGCAAAAGATTTGTAATCATGACTTGAATGGATTTAAAAGAAAATAGATGTGTAGTTGATCTCTTACTGCATTTATCTGAGATGAATAAATGGGATCTTGTAAACCCATCAGATCATACAAGTTTGCTATCCAGAAATTAAGTGCCTAGTTTTCAGTTAAAAATTATTTATTCAAGACATGTTTTGTTTCTAAATAGGTTAGTTATTAAAGTAGCTTCATCTTTTAATATGTAGCAGTTGTGGTCTATTTTTTCAAGATTCAGTTTATTTTCTCATTTACCCCTTCCAGCTGGCCCCCTTTTATTGTTTTGTTGCCACAAATCATCTCTAAAGTTGTATTCTTGCTTTCACAGTGTTTCATTTTACTGTTAGGTTACAGTTTCTGCCCCTGATTTGTAGTTGAGTTGTGGATTTTCACTGTTTCTGCCCCCAAAGCCATCCTTCACTAGACCCCAGCAGGTAGTCTTTCAGATACTAAGCCATTCTTGGGATATTTGTGGAACAAAAATTCTAATGCCCCTAAAAGACTAAGTGGCTGGTTGGTACACTGTGGGTGTTTCCAGATATACTTTGACTACTAAATTGTTTTTTCTAAGAAGGTAGATAAGGTCATATATTTGAAGACTTATCTTTTAGTTCTTTGTTTATAATTTTACCAATATGCTGTCACATAATGTTCCTTAAACCTTGCAATCATGGCCTTTGTTATGTTTGGCTAAACAATGCTTTATTTAGATGGCAGTCCATTTTAGCAGAAGGGTGAAACTCATTTAATGTGTTTTAGCATTTGTTCTCTAATAACTTCTCAAACAATACTTGTAACTATTAAATCTTCTAAAACTTGTTTTACCTAGATATATTTTAAGGTGTACCCAGAAAATAAAGCAGTATTATAGTTTTTAGTCAGTATTCATTACCCAATGATCAGTTGAAGTAAAAGGGAATTTTTTTACTCAGTAGAAAGTTGTTAGGTTTTATTAGTTTTTCTTGTTTTGAGTAATAATTAAGGCCTTTTATCTTTAACAGATCTCATTTTAAATATTTGGAGTCTATGAAAATAAACTTTCTTAGATTATAGTTTCTTAAATGGCATACATATTTTTATTTTCTCCTAAACAGGTTCAGTCTGTTGTTAATACCACTGTGCCAGCTGGAAGGAGGGAAAACTTAATATGTGTATAAAAACACTGGCATATGATTTCTTTAAAAGTCTCTGAAATTCAGTATTTAACTTTATCAGAAATTGAACTGAGAATTGATCTGTTCTCTGTGTCTCATGATGTATTTCAGTATTTTAAAGCATTGCAGTGTTTTAAAGATTTTGAGTTGTAACTAAATATGAGTGTTACCTACATAATCTCATCATTTTTTGAAAACATAGGTATTGATAACATTGATTTGGATCCTGAGTATGTTAGTAAGACGAGGGACATGGTGTGTGTGTATGTATTTCTTCATTTGTAATCAAGCCATTCTTTTTTTTTTTTTTTTAAACAAAAGCACAACAGGACAAATCCACACTTTTATTTATTTTCGAGAAGTTTAAATCCTCAAAGGGTACAGCATCACACAGATTCTGTGTCCAATGGCCTTAGGAAGGTTGCTTCGGAATTTAGCATGAGCCATGCCACTGTTTCCATGAGCTCGAGTTATCTTTCCCCAGATTACTCTGGTTTTGTTAGGTTTTCCACCAGGAGTTGCTGTGTTGTTCTTTGCTTTGTACACATAAGCACACCTCTTCCTGGATAGAATTCAGTTTCATCTCGAGCATATATACCTTCAAGTTTCAGGAGAGCAGTGTGTTGCCTTTGGTTCCGTAGACCCCGTTTATAGCCAGCGAAAAATGGCCTTGGACCACAGCCTTCCAGACATATTTGTTGTTTTAGAAGTCCTGTTCCCAGCAGGCCTCCACAGGGTCCAAGATGGCTGTAAGAGCTCAAGCCATTCTTCTAGAGTCTTCAAGTCAACTGTCATGTTCGTGCTTTCCTGCTTTGTTCTTTTGAGCCACCTGATGACTGGCAACTGAATGGATCTTGGAAAGGAACTCTTAGCAAATTCGTGCTGGGCCCTTTGGTCCTCTCCTTTGCCTGCATCATAGCAGCTACATTCTGTCCTGTCTGTGTCCCTGCAAAGAAAGGGATGAGAGAGAGAAAGAGTGAGTGTGAGAGTGTGTGTGTGTGTGTGTGTGTGTTGTAGTAGTAGTAGAAGTCAGCAATCTCTTGTCAGCATATGTTATAAAGGTTTCTCAAGCACATGGAAAGAGATCTTTCTCAGGAAAACTGTCAAGGCCAGCACACATGGGAAAAGTATTTCAGTGCTTAGTGCATAGTCTTGTAACTGTGACTGTTTTTATTTTATGGGGTCAGAAGAAATTAAATCACAAGACGTAGTTATGCTCCACATCATTATTTACCTGTCTTTTCTTCTTGAACTCTCCCAGGCAGCAGTATCTGTCCAAAGATCACTATAGTTCCACCCTGCTTGAAAAGCAGCACAACCGCACTGATTGATCAGAATGCATCTGATGAAGAGGCTCAGGGAATAAATGGGAAAACGCCAGCAAAACACTTAGCTGCAAGTCCAAAGCCACAAGGTATGCTGTTGGGGTTTTTTTGATCAAGTTAGATGCTTTGTTCATTGAAGAAAGTGACACAAAGGAATGATGATCACTCAGAAAGAGTTTTAAGCTATAAATTGAGGAATTGGGTGCATTTGTTTTTTCAGGAGAAAAGTCAGGCAGGGTTTCTACTCTGAAAATACCTTCTATATTTCCCTATTATGGCTTTTTTCATAAATTGTTTATATGTCCCCTTAATGGAAATGTGACCTCTTCATGTACTGTGCTTGACATACTACAGAGTCTAACTTACTATTTGCATAATAAATATGTAACAAATTAATATGTGCTTAGAAGTACTGTCAAAGTTGTCATGACTTTATAAATGTGAGAGGGTCTGTGAAACAGATCATTCTAAAACAGTGCTTTAATATACTTATCTAGAATGTGATTTTACAATATGAAGGAAGTGGGGCTTTTCAGGCTTCTTGGTAAAATCATCCATAAAAATTGAGTCCTTTCATCCAGGCATTCAGTGTCCAACAAGGGGAAAATTTTTAGTGATGAAAATCTCTAAATGCTTTGCTCAGTAACCATTTCATTTTATAAGTAAATTTCTAGTAAATGGTAATTAACTTTAAAAAGCCCAAAATTATAATTTTGATTTGATGATTGAGAGCAAGGTCTTTTGAAGTATAACACAAAACTATGCTACACTGGCTTAACCTCTAGTTTATTTCAAACGTATTCATTTATATCAAATGCTGAACATTCAATCAGGAAACAACACTAGGCATTTTCAGAATCACTATACTTTGAAAAAATCAATTTCTGTTTGGATTATTTGTATTTTCTTTGGTCTCTTTCCTTGTTCTTATGTTTTAAATTTTTCTGAAAGAGATCTTTAAAGGGAGGTTAGAATGGAGTCTTCCCAATCACAGGCTATTTTTCTTATTGTTCTTACTACTAGTTATATTGGTGATGGTATGAGATGTATGAGATGGTATGAGATGGTATGATGGCTGTCAAACAAGGTCAGATAATTGGAAATTCAAGTGAATAACTCATTGATGAGTTTATAACCTCAATCCTTGACCATATTCCTGTATAACATTTTGAATATGAAAACAGAAATTTTTCTGATCATGATTAAAGCCATTTTATTTGCACAATACAAAATTCCACCTTGCTCATTGGTTGTAAGGTGACCTCAAATAAAGTAAAAAATATAAGAAATAAATGCAATTCAATTTTATGTAATTCCCCAGATGAAAAGCAAGAATTTCATTATTGATAAAGAATGTTTTGGAAAGGTATTGCATCACTTCATTGTTTTTAGTTCATTGAGATAAATTATAGCCGTGTTCTTTCTGAGCTGCTCTGTGCCAAAATAACTCTGCTCTTTAGGGAGAAAGCACCAACTTGCTACTTGTAGTTCTGTTGAAGTCTGTGTGTTGCTAGTTAAACATATGTGATTACTTTCTATCTTGAATATGGATTTATTTATATATATATATATATATATATATATTTGCATAACAAAGGAATATTTCCAGATATAAAATAAACAACATAGAGTATACTTTTTTCCAAAACAGTCTCGTTGTTTTGCCCTTTCCTGACCCTCTCCCTGCCCCAGCTAAACTTTTAGCTCCTCTATCACCCCTTAAATCTCACATTTAATCATCTCTTCTTTGGTTTTTCTCATTCATTACAGACTGGTCTACTTTTTAGCTCATCCATGTTTGTTTTTTTTCTGCTTTGTATACTACTGTATTCCCTGTATCTCACACACAGTGTCGCAGGCCTTCAGTAATCCTCACTGAGTGCATCTTGCTCTATCACCATGTTTCTTTTACTTTGTTTCTGCTGTTCTCTGTTTAAAACTTAGAATGTGTTCCATGTAGAGACTGTTGTGCTATGTCACTCAGTCATGTCCAAACCAAATCTTTATGACTCGGACTGCAACCACCAGGCTTCTCTGTCCATGGGATTTTCCAGGCAAGAATACTGGAGTCGTTTACCATTTCCTCCTTCAGGGGGACTTCCCTACCCAGAGATTGACCCAGTGTCTCCCGAGTCGCCTGCATTTGTGGCAGAGTTTTTACCACTGGGCCACCTAAGAAGCCCATATATAGAGACCAGTGTCCTGAAATGAGGCTATATCTTGATATTGTCAGACCAGCTGCCAAATAGATCACTACTTATTGACTTGACTGATTGATAGTATTTCCCACCCTTTAGCAGAGAGAAGCCACTTTTCGTTTCTCCAAATCCTTAAAAACATTTGGGTGACTGAGGTTGGTTGAGAAATGAAGGTGATACCAGTGGGGACTTCCCGCTCAGACTGACAGATTATCACACTGATACCCTTATGCCCACTTCCTGGCAAATTCTTTATAAATTATGCATGATGCTGCTGCTAAGGCTTCAAGAGCCATTATGTAATTTTACTTCAGTTGAAGACTCTTATTCTAGATCAGTAATTCTCAACTGGAGATAATTCTGCAGGCCTGTGGCACCCACCCTACCGCTCACTGGTATTATCTGGAGACATTTTGTTTTGCTTGCCACATTTGGGATTTGCTACTGGCATCTAGTACGTAGAGGCTAGGGATGCTGCTCAACATTCTACAATGCACAGGTCAGCCTTTTCCACCCCTCACTAACAAAGAATGATCTGACCTGAAATAGCATTAGTGTGAGAAACTGTGATCTAGATCCTAAAAATAGCTCATAATTAAATCTTGGACTTCCCAGGTGGCTCAGTGGTAAAGAATCTGCCTGCCAATGCAGGAGATGCAGGAGATACAGGTTCGATCCCTGGGTTGGAAATCCCCTGGAGGAGGAAATGGCAACCCACCCCAGTATTCTTGCCTGAAAATCCCATGGACAGAGGAGCCTGGCAGGCTACAGTCTATAGGGTAGCAATGCGTTGGGTGCATCTGAGTGCACACACACACCAATTAAATCGTATTTGTTTGTCATGTGAAGTGCTAATAATATCATGGCTGCAATTTATTATGGTGGTTTTTAAAAGGAGAGAATATTTACAGCTTTTATTAGTAGTGATTATGTTGTAATATAGTTAGAGGTTGTTTTGCCTCAGAAAATACCCTAAGGCCTTGGGAAACAATGGTTTATTCTCTTCATACCAGTCCTACTAGTAAATCAAATTACTGAGCAACCCCAATTACTAAGTCTTTCTTGTTCACCACTTCTAATATTGGCCTATTTTCTGCTATACTAGACATAACTCAAAAGAATTTCCTTAGCAATTAAAGATAATCTTACTTTTTCCCTTAGGAACTTTGATCCACAGCATTCTCCATAGTTAATTATTTTGATAAAGCCCACATACTGTCCCTTCTCAAACATTAAACTTTAATGTTTAAAAATTTTTCATCTTTGAAAGTCACGTTATTGTTTCAATAATTTAAGTAAATAATTTGATTTACTCAGTTGAGTAATTCATCTGTTTCTAAAGTAAAGCATTCTATGTATAATGCTTCATTCTTAACGTATGTTACAAATTTATAATGCTTTAATATATAGCCAGCTGTTTTTCATAGTAAGTAAAATAAGAGTAATAGAAACCTACTGGTAATCTGCAAATTTAAACTGGTGTAAAGGAAAAAAAAAATGTTACCTTCCATTCCATTTCTACAGGGATCAAGCTAATATCCCACTAAATGTGTTCCCAGAGGAAAATTTGTGATAGAGAAAAACAGGGAGCATTCTTTGCTTTGGATGTGCCATCCCCTAGATAGTAAGATACCTATCTAAGGAAAAATTTCAGTGACTCCAGATCCTTGAATCTTCCCTACAAAGAAAAGCATTAAAGTCATTACCTTAAGATATCTTTCGTTCTTTGTGATTCAGTTCAGTTCAGTTCAGTCACTCAGTTGTATCCAACTCTTTGCGATTAGTAGTAATCTTTTTGTACTTGACTACATGTTTTTCCCAGCAAAAAAAGCTCATATTTATCTTGGCCCCTTCCTTAACTCTTTGGAGCAGTTCTTCAGATCTATCTGAGAGGCTGTCTCCCTGCTATAGTCCTCAGTAAGGTCCCTGAATAAAACTTAACTCACAACTTTTCTGTTGCATATTTTTCTTTCAGTTGAGAGTGGCAAATACTTTTTCATTCTCCAATTATTTTGCATATTTGGAAATTTTTAATAATTAAATTTTTTTGTTCTATTTAGTATCTGTACAATTAACTCTAGTGGAGCCCATTTTGCTTATCATCAGTGAGAGACCTCAAAGTTAACATGTCATTGCCATGTCCTTGACTAGACTACTGATCTCTCCAAACATTGCTTAACCTATTATGTGAGTAGTTATATAAAACTTGCATACAATTGAGCTCATTTCACATGCTAGCAAAATAATGCTCAAAATCCTTCAAGCTAGGCTTTAATAGTACATGAACCAACAACATCCAGATTTACAAGCTAGATTTAGAAAAGGCAGAGGAACCAGAGATCAAATTGCCAATGTCTGTTGGATCATAGAAAAAGGAAAGGAATTCCAAACAAATATCTACTACTATTTTATTGACTACTTAAAGCTTTTGACTGTGTAGATCACAATGAACTGTGGAAAATCCTTAAGAGGTAGGAATACCAGGCTACCTTAGCTGTCTCCTGAGAAACCTGTATACAGGACAAGAAGGAATAGTTAGAACCAGACATGGAAACATGGACTGGTTCAAAATCAGGAAATATACAGTAGGACAAGGCTATGTATTGTTACCCTGCTTATTTAACTTATATGCAGAGTACATCATCCAAAAAGCAGGGCCGGAAGACTTACAAGCTGGGATCATGATTCCTGGAGAAATATCAATAACCTCAAATATGAAGATGATACCACTCTGATGGCAGAAAGTAAAGATGAACTAAACAGCTTCTTGATGAAGTTGAAAGAGGAAAGTAAAAAAGCTGGCTTAAAACTAAACATTCAAAAAACGAAGATCATCGCGTCTGATTCCATCACTTCATGACAAATAGATGGGGGGAAAATGGAAACAGTGACAGATTTTCTTTTCTTGGGCTCCAAAATCACTGCAGATGGTGACTGCAGCCACAAAAATAAAAGATGCTTACTCCTTGAAAGAAAAGCTATGACAAACCTAGACAGTGTATTGAAAAGCAGAGACATCGCTCTACAGTCAAAGCTATGGTTTTTCTAGTAGTCACTTATGAATATGAGAATTGGACCATGAAGAAAGCTGAGCCCTGAAGAATTGATGCATTCGAATTGTGGTGCTGGAGAAGACTCTTGAGAGTCCTTTGGAGAGGAGATCAAACCAGTCAACCCTCAAGTAATTCAACCTTGAATATTCATTGAAAAGACTGATGCTGAAGCTCTAATATTTTGGCCACCTGATGTGAAGAGCTGACTCATTGGAAGACACCCTGATGCTGGGAAAGATTGAGGACAAGAGAAGAAGTAGGCGGCAGAGGTTGAGATGATTGGATGTTATCACCGACTCAATGGACATGAGTTTGAGCTTGCTCTGGGAGATAGTGAAAGACAGGGAAGCCTGGCATACTGCTGTTCATGGGATCACAAAGAGTCAGACACGAGTTAGCAACTGAACAACAAGTATCAAAGAAGGTATGTTCACTAGTAAACCATAGATGAGAGAGTTATTTTGTAGTTCTTTAGACGCAGAATGATAAAGAGCACATTCACTCCCTCCTTTGCACATTCTATTTAGGAATACTGAAATTATTACTAATGTTAAACTATTTGGTGGGGAGGTGGAGTATTGTCCTGGTTTACTATTTTGGTATATATTTGTTCTACATGGAAAAATTTTCCTTAAAATGAACAAATATCACACTTGTTTAAGCCCCTTCCTTCTCAATGGTTACTATACTATTCTTTCCACCCCCAAATATTATTATATCTTAGAAAATGGTATCATTTTCATGAAAAGAAGCATGTCATTTTTTTCATTGGAATTTTGTTTGTGTTGATGGAGAAAGAGGTAGATTGTTATACCTATAGCACATTGTGTTATATATATGTTTTCCCTCCTCTCTGTAAGAATTGATTACTGAAACTGAAATGATGAAATCTAGGCCAGTAAGCATCACACAACTGTCAGCTTGCTGAGTTTATAAAAGAGATAAGATTACTGAAAACCAGGGTAACCAGCTCCAGGAAAAGGGTCATATAGTTAGAAGAAGACATGATTCTCCACCCATTTTCAGGAAGTTAGGAAAAGGATAAAAAAAAAAATGGAGATGATTCTGTTTGATTTATTGAAACATGTATAATTATATATTAGAAACATGTATAATTATATATTATTTTATCCATAATGTTAATTGAAGAGAAAAAGGATACTGTACTGGTTTTCAAAATTGAAGTATTCTTGTAATGATTAAGCATTTATGGCATATTATGTTTTCTCAGATACAGAATTTCTGACCTATTAGAGAAAACCTGTAGATTTTAGTATTTTGCAAATGATCTGTTCATATTCTGTTAATTGAGTGGAAGGCTTATTAGTAAGCAGATTATATGTGGTATATTAATGCTAGACAACTGTTAATGTAGCAGTCTAAGTTCTGTAACCACCTTTTGCAGATTTATGATGAGAAGCAGTGCTAATAATGGAAAAAGCTAGAGTCTGGGTACCAGTTATAAAATCTGATCAGCCTTGTTACCCCAGGCCAGTAATCGCTTAAGCTCTCTAAGTCTTCATAGACATAGGAGGCAAATAATGATCTATCTCAGAGGTCTGTAAAGAAAAAAATTCGTCTAAGATCAAATGAGATACAGTGCGTTTGTTAACTGAGAAGATGCTTAAGTAATGCAACGTTATATTAATGTCATTTGTTGGCTTTTTTGTTGGCTTTATGTCTCACCTACTGCCTCTGGATTTTAGTATATCTTTTATCACTCATTATTAGAAAATCTCTTTTATAGCAAGCAGTGTATCTCTAGGAATTAGTTTCAAATTTAGTACTTTCCTTTCTCTGTTTAGAAAAAAATTTCTATGTCATCTCTAGTAGAGTTTGGAATGCCTTAGTCATATGTAGATCCATAGATGTTTACTAAAGCCATATTTTAAAATCACTTAAAATTAAAAGAACCTCTTGAATCTTGGATGTCGGACTTCTACAGGACACAGAACAAGTGTCCAAGATAGATAAAGGTCTCTTGGTTAAGGTTCAGCCCAAATTTGACGGATCTCTTAACAAAAATTTGGTAATGGTAAAGATTTTTTCAGCAAGAACACTAGGATTTTTTGCTTAGGAACAAATATCAGTGAAATACTGAATTCTATGAATTCTTTTTCTACAGTGCCTCCAAAGCCACTACACCTGCAGAATTTACCTTCAACCAATATTCACCAAACTCCTAGGCATAAAGCTTTATCTAGTGCAAAACCAAGGATGGAGGAAGTTAAACCTGCCTCTGCTTGTGTCTCAAAGGAAAAGCCCAGTAAGGTATCAGATCTCATCAGTCGCTTTGAAGGAGGCAGGTAAGAGCTAACTTACAATGGGAGAAAGCTGAGGGGAGACTAAAACTGATTTTTGAAAAAAATGTATGATAGAGATGTAGATTTAAAAATAAAAAATACAGTTTTTTATTCCATTAGGTGTGGTAGGCCTTTAGAAAGAGTGGATTTTTAAAATGCTAATCTTGCCCTTTTTGTTTTTTCATACTGTCCATGGGGTTTTCCAGACAAGAATACTGAAGTGGTTTGCCATTTCCTTCTCCATTGTAAATTGTCAGAATTCTTCACTATGACCTGTCTGTCTTGGGTTGCCCTGTCATGGCATGGCTCATAGCTTCATTGAGTTACACAAGCCCCTTAGCCATAACAAAGCTGTGATCCATGAAGGGGACAGAGGAGCCTGGCATGCTGTAATCCATGTGTTTGCGAAGAGTTGAACGCAACTTAACGACTGAACAGTCTTCCCTATGTGAATTGTCACTTATCATGTTTGTTTGCGTGCAGGGCCCTCTGCCCCAGCCTTCTCATCACTCAGCACTGTGCACACCTTGCTTCCTCTGTCTGTGTGCATCATTCCATGCGTTGTTGCTTCTTGTGGGCAGTCATTCCATTGGTCACTGGATATCTGGGTTGGAAGGGCAGGAAGTAATATCTGTCTGTTTCTCATTTCATATGCTTGAATGAACTTCTGTGGGCCTGTCCCATCTTTTCTTTCCATTTTATTTCGTATAGATCTGTATCCATTCAGTCTGTTTTCCCTTGCCCCATACACCTATACTGTTCTAGGTTCGTGAAGACATACTGGCAGTAACAAAATTTATGTTAAATCTCTGTTTCTATTTATTAGATATAATTTTTTATTCTTTAGCTCTGTATAAAAAAAGTAGCTGAAATGTATATATTGAAAAGATAAAAACAAACTCACATAAGTTACTTTTCTACTTATATGATCCTTAGTTGTTTTTTTTCGTAGGATTTCCATCACTGATTTAAATAGAATTTTTTTTTAATTTATCAGAAGGATTTTATTGTATGTCACCAAAACTCTATATATAATTAAACAATATATTTAACTTCACTTTCATTCATGAAGCCAAATATTTCCATTTATTCTAGTGTAATATTTGGGAACGGTTATCCATTAGGTGATTTCATTTTTTATTTGCAGGACATGTTTTTATTTATGCAGTGAATCATAGCTTGGAAATGCTTTCAACATCTTCTAGAAATTGTGACCAAATGCTGTAATGCCCCTCATTTGTGAGACTATATTTAATAACAAATTCTGGAGAAAAGTAGTTCAGAAGCCTTTCTTCATTTTTTCACTCTTGATCAATTATGGAAACTTGTCATAATATTTAAATATCAACATTTCACTCTCTGAAGTAGGATTTTTAATACCTTTGCTATCATAAATTATAGTAATCTTTACTAGAAAAGATTGTTTTCTGTGACAAGTTGATTCTGTAGCACAAAGTGATGTGCCTCATGTTTGCAGATTCCCAGGTCCGTGTCCAGTGATTTAATAATAAAAGGAGGGGGGATGGGCCCCGACCCCAATTCATATTACATGCCAGAGCCTGTATCCTCAGATTTGGGTATAACTTTGGGAAGCCCCAGATGAGTCTCTAACTATCCCTTCCCCCCAGCAACCATAGGTTTGTTTTCTAAGTCTGTGGACAACCTCTGACTTTTATAAGACATTTTCCCCTACCAAATTTTTTCTTCCGTTCTTGTGATAATAAACTTCACTGTGTTTTTTGTCTCCTCTGACTGCTTTCTTACCATTTATTAGCCACATTACATTGGCCATGTTATCTAGGTTTCTTAAGCCTGTATTGTGGGGTCCCTTCTTTGGAATTATTTATGATATAGAACAAGATAATGTATGTAAAGGGCTTAATGTAGTTTCTGGCACTTAATAAATGTTAGTTGGTATTATTGAATTGCTGTTATGATCATCATCACAATTAGTTATTCTATTGTTCCTCCACTTTTTATTGAGCACTGTCACATACCAAGTGCTGTGCTAAGAGGTGGGAATAAAGCAGAGAACAAGATGGGTACATTTTGTACCGTCACAGAGTTTTGGTCTGTTTTAATTTTTTCTCATTAGGTCATAAGAATCTCTTCAAGACTGAAGTCCAGAGTTTTATATTTTTCCTTCCTGGAATCCTAGATTAAAGTACTATATTAGGAGAAGGCAATGGCAGCCCACTCCAGTACTCTTGCCTGGAAACTCCCATGGACAGAGGAGCCTGGTAGGCTGCAGTCCATGGGGTCGCTAAGAGTCGGACACGACAAAGCAACTTCACTTTCACTTTTCACTTTCACGCATTGGAGAAGGAAATGGCAACCCACTCCAGTGTTCTTGCCTGGAGAATCCCAGGGACAGGGGAACCTGGTGGGCTGCCGTCTATGGGATCGCACAGAGTCGGACATGACTGAAGCAACTTAGCAGCAGCAGCAGCAGCAGAAAGAACAAATTACCAATATAAGATTAGGTTTAATGTCTTATGCAGGCAAAAGTACTTGAAGCTGAAACTTTCTATTAACTTTATGCTAAATCTCTCTCAACCAATTGTGGATGAGAAATGGCATTACCACTGTATTAGTTTTCTGTTGCTCCGGTAACACATTACCATACATTAAATAAGCTTAGAACAAGACAAATTTATTATCTTTTTCTTCTGTTTGTCAGAAGTCTGACACAAGTGTCTCACTGGACTAAAATCAAGGTGTCAGCAGGACTCTAGTTTCTGCAGGTTCTAGGGAAGAATCCACTTCCTTGCCTTTTCTAGCTTCTAGAACCTGCCTTTTACAGCATGGTCTCTTCCCTCCATCTTCAGTGCCAACCATGGCAAGTCAGGTCCTTCTTAAACCATATCTCTATAACCTTTATTCTGTCATTGCATCTCTCTAGCCATAGCAAGGAAAATCCTCAGCTCTTAGGAACTCACGTGGTTTGATTGGGGCCACCCAAATAACCCTGAATAGTCTCCCCATTTCAAGATCTGTAACCTGAATTACTTTTCCAAATCCCCTTTGCCATGTCAAGTTCACAGGTTCTGGGATTAGGACATGGACATGTTAAGTGGGCCATTATTCTGCCTAACATAGCCACATTGGAGAGAGGTCTCTTTCCACTTGATAATGACCAATGACATATTCTTACCGATTTGAAAAAGCAACAGGAAACTACCAAATTCAGACAAACCTAGGCATCTTGTCCAGAATCAAGCAACATATCAAAAATCCTAAGTGTAACTTTTGAAGGAAGACATGGTATAGAGCAAGTGTTAGAGATTGCTTATTGTGTATTCAATTTGTATTTGGAGGTTAGTGTTAACAGTGTTGTAGCAATTTGCCCCTGACTTAAAATAGCGATCTTAATGAAATAATTATATTTTCCAAAACAAAAATGATTATTGGCATTGTCATATTGTTTATTGTAAATCTCTTCAGTGCATGGCTTATGGGAAAACAGGTAGATTCTCATAGCTGCTTCTGTATTCAGTCTATTGGAATATTTGTTTTCATTGACGTATAGGAAGAAAAATCCACCCTCACAAAGATAGGTTGTCAGATATGTATTAAAGAGTACTTTAATAACCTTTAAAAAAAAAAGTACTATATTAGTATTTCCACAGAAGCATTTCTGTATACTGGCAGTTAAACTTAAGCCTCTTTGAGGTGACATCTGATCTGAAACATGAATGATGGAAAGAAGTAAACCACACTGCTGACTTGGAAAAGACTGTCCTGGGCAGAGAGAATTCCAGCTTAGATATGCACATTTGCTTATTGGGTATGGGAACAGCAAAGTGACTAATATGACAAGAACAAAGTGAGTGAGGCGAGAACAGAATTTAATGAGGCCAGAGCTAGTAGGGGCTAGAGTATAGAGAATCTTGTAGGTCGTGATTAAGATGCCAGATTTACCTTCAAGTGTTCAGGGAAGCCCTCACTCAGAGTTTGAGCTCTGTGGCCTACCTGGGGCTGGAGGGGATCTCTGTGGAAGCAGAAAGACCAGTTAGGATGCTGTGGCAACACATGCAGTAAAGTTTTTGAGAAATGTGTCCGCTTTCCAGAGACAAATAATCTTTGGTTTCTAACCTATTCATAAATTGAGGGCTGACTATACTTGTCTATAAAATGTTAAGAAAGTAAAAATCTTGGGATAAGGTGGCCTTATTAAATATATTCCTCACATCTAAGTCTTTACTAATTAACTATGTTAATAAACAACCCAAGGAAATGTTTCCAAACCTATAGGTAAAGCTCAGACTTACCGTCTTTATTTAAATGTTTGAGTGTAGATAACATCCTGAACAACTGAGAGCTACTCTACCAGTTTTTATCTAAGTTTCTAAAACCAAGGGGGACAGATATCTTCACTAAATATCCCTAAACAAATGGAATAAATTTGTTTTTATTCTAGAACTTGTCCATGCCAGCATTTTCATACTTCCTTTGTGTTTTATCTTTTAGTGCTTTATCAAATTACAGCGATTTGAAAAAAGATTCTGCTATGAACCTAAATGCTCCTAGAACCCCAGGAAGGCATGGATTGACAGCCACACCTCAGCAGAAACTCCTCTCCCAGCACTCACCACAGAAGCAGGGAAATGGTACAGATCAATCTCAGGGTGAACAGACTTGTGTGGCAAATGGTATGGTAACAGCACAAAACCAGACGGAATGTGAGGAGGACAGAGCGGCCACTCTTAGCCCAGATACTCCTATTCAAACTTCTGAACCCTTGCCCGATACAAACTTAATGAATGGGGAAAAACAAGAAACAGCCACAGGCCCGGCATCACCCACAACAAATAACTGTCATGAAGATCCTTCTGACAGTAGCTGCAGGACTTTACATGCCAGCCCGGTGCTCCCACTGGAAGAAGAAAGGACAGATACAGAAGCCAAGGTACAAGAGAGGGAAAGTGAAGAAAGCCCCCTAGAACTGGAACAACTGGACCAGCACCATGAGATGAAGGTAAAGCATAAGTAGGAGGACGCACTAACTATTCCACTACACTTTGGACTCTATTTTATAGCACTTATGTGTTGAAGAAGTCTGATCACCCTCACCACCAGTTCAGCAGTTTTCAAGCTCTAGCTGCTGATGCATGTTTTCCCTACTCTGTGAGGAGACACTTCACTTTTTCTTCTATATAATTTCTATTGATCTCTCTATTATGATTTCAAGATTCAGAACAGTGTAAAGACTTTGATATAGGAAAATCACAAACATAGTGTTTATATTTACATTAAAAATTGCTCCCCATCAACATATGGGCATCCCTAATAATAAACATAGGGCTGCATCCCTAATATTTATGATCTGAGTAACAGGAAATTATTTAATCCTGAAAATCATCTTAGTTCAGTAGTTCATTTATAGAAGAAAAAATAGTCCCGGGAAGCTTAAATGATGTTCCAGACTCACAGTAAAAGCCCAGACACCTTGTGCTTTGACACTCAGGCCAATATTGTGTCCTGATTCAAGAAGTCCCAAGCATAAATGCCTAATTGCAGTAAGTGTCAGTGAATGCAGCAGCCATGAGTGATGGGCTAAGGAGAGGTGAGACTGTGGCAAACTAGAAGTTCATTTCCTTTCTGAGCAGAGCAGCAGTTTGATAAGCCACCTGAATGACATTTCTAAGCTAATAAAGGGCTGATTTGCTGATGAAATAATATTCATAACCTACCTGTACTACAGCAGAAACTTTTATACCACTTCAGTAACAAGACCACTGCATTTGTATTCTTTATTTGTGCCAATTTAGTGCTTTGGGAAGATCAATAAATATGACTTTTACACATTGAAAATTTAGAATTTGAAATTCCAATTCCATTTGGAATTTCTTGGATCAGAGATGCAATATAAGCATTATTATAGAGTTCCCTGGAGTGGTGAGTTTACAAGTCTGAAGACAAGGAAAAAAGGTTTCCATTGTTTAGTCTCTCTTTTTGATTATAAATAATAATCCAGTTAGGAGAGTTGAGAATTGAAAATTGGACAATTATAGGAAAATTTGTAAATAACAAATCCAAGTCCTAAATCTGTTTAGAATTTTTTTTTTTTATGATACTGTGTCTTAAGTGGCACTACCATAGGCAAAAATTCAAAAAGACTGATACTAAAATATTAGAGTAAAAATGATTGATTGATGTGTTCAGAACTTTAAAGTGAAATCTGTCTTATAGTTCAATTCACAGTGACCCTGAAAAATATCACATATGGGCAAAGTGCCAGAGGTTTAATTTTAAATGCTGACTGAAGCAAAGAAAGTTTAAATAAGGAAGTGGGTGGGAGAAAGTCATCCTTGGCAACAATATCTGAAACATTAAATAAACAGGACCATACAAGGTGAATCTCTTTACATCTCAGTATAGTAGTAGATTTTAGTGTCTCTGTGCTTAAATTACTTTGAACAGAAGAGAGTTTTAGAACCAAAGAACTCAAGACTCCTATCTGTCATTTTACAGTTGGGATGATGCCACCAGCAAGTATCAGTAAAACAGCAAGAACTGTTTTTATTAAGGGAAATATTTTAATTGATGATGATGTCTGTGGTTGCTGGGTACTACTTTTCTTCCCCTGTCGTGTATTATTATGTATACATTTTCATAGATGTATCTTGCATGGTTTGGGAGAGACTTAATTGGGCTTCTTATTACATTAGTGAAACATGTACATCTGGTCTTTCTCCTAATGGGCATTTAAGCAATAGTTGGCACATGCTATATGAAGGAAGAAAAATTAAATTTTCTCTTCAGAGCTATTGATTCAAACACTACATGAGCCCCCCATCTAAAAAGGACTATTAGGATTTAATTTCTACATGGTGACAATGTGCTCTCCTTTGTTGCTCTAATGCTTGTTACATTGCCTTTCCTTGTTCCAAAATGCAAAGATAAATGTTAGCAGTGTTAGGAGGATACATTTTATGTTAAGTGTTCAGTTCAGTTCAGTCGCTCAGTCGTGTCCGACTCTTTGCGACCCCATGAATCGCAGCACGCCAGGCCTCCCTGTCCATCACCAACTCCCGGAGTTTACTCAGACTCATGTCCATCGAGTCGGTGATGCCATCCAGCCATCTCATCCTCTGTCGTCCACTTCTCCTCCTGCCCCCAGTCCCTCCCAGCATCAGGGTCTTTTCCAGTGAGTCAGCTCTTCACACGAGGTGGCCAAAGTATTGGAGTTTCAGCTTCAGCATCAGTCCTTCCAATGAACACCCAGGACTGATCTCCTTTAGGATGGACTGGTTGGATCTCCCTGCAGTCCAAGGGGCTCTCATATTTTACTACAATTTTAAAAATAAAAATTTTTTTGGTTAGTAGTATATTGTGGACCAAACAATTGGAACCAGGAAATGTTGTTTTTTTTTAATTGAAGTATTGTTGCTTTCCTGGAGAAGGGCATGGCAAGCCACTCCAGTATTCTTGCCTGGAGAATCCCCATGGACAGAGGAGACTGTCAGGCTACAGCCCATGGGGTCATAAAGAGTCAGACATGACTGAGCAACTAAGCACATAGTTGCTTTACAAGGTTGTGTTCGTTCCTGATGCTAATAAGTTGTTTCAGTCATATCTGACTCTACAACCCCATGGGCTGCAGCACGCCAGGCTTCCCTGTCCATCACCAACTCCCAGAGCTTGCTCAAACTTATGTCCATCAAGTCAGTGATGCCATCCAACCATCTCATCCTCTGTCGTCTCCTTCTCCTGCCTTCAACCTTTCCCAGCATCAGGGTCTTTTCCAGTGAGTCAGTTCTTCGCATCAGATGGCCAAAGTATTGGAGTTTCAGCTTCAACATCAGTCCTTCCAATGAGTATTCAGGACTGATTTCCTTTAGGATGGCCTGGGTGGATCTCCTTGCTGTCCAAGGGACTCTCAAGAGTCTTCTACAACACCACAGTTCAAAAGCATCAATTCTTCTGTGCTCACCTTTCTTTACAGTCTAGCTCTCACATCCATACATGACAAAGCTGTGGAAAAACCATAGCTTTAATTAGATGGACCTTTGTTGGTAAAGTAATGTCTCTGCTTTTCAAAATGCTGTCTAGGTTAGTCATAGTGTTTCTTCCAAGGAGCAAGCGTCTTTTAATTTTATGGCTGCAGTCACCACTTGCAGTGAGTTTGGAGCCCAAGAAAATAAAGTCTGTCACTGTTTCCATTGTTTCCCCATCTGTTTGCCATGAAGTGATGGGACCAGATGCCATGATCTTTCTTTTTTGAATATTGAGTTTGAAGCCAGCTTTTTTCACTCTCCTTTTTCACTTTCATCAACAGGATCTTTAGTTCTTCTTCACTTTCTGCCATAAGGGTGGTGTCATCTGCATATCTGACGTGATTGATGTTTCTCCCAGCAATCTTGATTCCAACTTGTACTTCCTGCAGCCCAGCATTTTGCGTGATGTACTCTGCATGTAACTGAAATAAGCAGGGTGACAGTATTTCATACAGCAAGCCAAATATAAGTGTAAAGCTGTGTACTTTTTAAGATTAACGTTCGTATAAATAATAGATCTAATGTTACTCTCTTCTTCCACCAAAGATGAAAGAAATCATGTAATGAAGTGGATGAGTAGATGAAGATGGTATCCAGAATGTGGAGATTTATATAAACATGAATTTTTTAAAAACATACATATTTATTTCTTGCTTATTTCCTGTTTTTTAATTGCCACTTTACTACTTTTTTTATAAACCTTGAGGATTTATAACTTTTGAACATACTCAAAAACTAAGATAATTATCTCCTGGGGGAGGAAATATGATAGAGAATCACATTCAGAAGTAAATTGCAAACAGAAAACCAGTGGTGTAATCCAAGTTAATTCCCCTTTCCTATTTTTCCTTCAGTTTCTTCTAATTGTAATTCTTAAAATTGTTGATTAATTTATAGAGTGTAATATGAGTTATCAGTTTTCTGAGAGTTAAAACATAATGCTTACATAGGTTATCCATTTCTTATGGACTACAAGTTCTTTTATAATCAAGCTTTATTTTATTTTATTTTATTTATTTATTTATTTTTTTATTAGTTGGAGGCTAATTACTTTACATCATTACAGTAGTTTTTGTTATACATTGAAATGAATTAGCCATGGATTTACATGTATTCCCCATCCCAGTCCCCCCTCCCACCTCCCTCTCCACCCGATCCCTCTGGGTCTTCCCAGTGCACCAGGCCCGAGCACTTGTCTCATGTACCCAACCTGGGCTGGTTATCTGTTTCACCCTAGATAATATACATGTTTCAATGCTGTTCTCTTGAAACATCCCACCCTCGCCTTCTCCCAGAGTCCACAAGTCTGTTCTATACATCTGAGTCTCTTTTTCTGTTTTGCATATAGGGTTATCGTTACCATCTTTCTAAAGTCCATATATATGTGTTAGTATACTGTAATGGTCTTTATCTTTCTGGCTTACTTCGCTCTGTATAATGGGCTCCAGTTTCATCCATCTCATTAGAACTGATTCAAATGAATTCTTTTTAATGGCTGAGTAATATTCCATGGTGTATATGTACCACAGCTTCCTCATCCATTCGTCTGCTGATGGGCATCTAGGTTGCTTCCATGTCCTGGCTATTATAAACAGTGCTGCGATGAACATTGGGGTGCACGTGTCTCTTTCAGATCTGGTTTCCTTGGTGTGTATGCCCAGAAGTGGGATTGCTGGGTCATATGGCAGTTCTATTTCCAGCTTTTTAAGAAATCTCCACACTGTTTTCCATAGTGGCTGTACTAATTTGCATTCCCACCAACAGTGTAAGAGGGTTCCCTTTTCTCCACACCCTCTCCAGCATTTATTGCTATAATCAAGCTTTATTTTAAATTAATTTTTATTAGAGTATAATTGATTTACAGTGTTATGTTGGTTTCTGCTGTACCCCAAAGTGAATCAATTATACATATCCATATATCTATTCTTCTTTAGGTTCTGTTCCCATATTTAGGTCATTACAAAGTATTGAGTAGAGT